TAACAAGAAGAGCTAAAAGTTGTAGTAGGGTAAGTTAATCCATTTATATTCTTCATAAAATAGACTTCAGCGTTAACAAATATATAAAATAATATTGTAGTAAAATTATAATAGATATTAAGAAATATTTATTATATCTTTTCAAATTACAAGAACATATTACAATTATATTTTTCAAACTAAACGCTATTTTTACTAGCAATTGTTATTAAACACCAAGAATAAGAATTTTTATTTTTATTATTTAAAAGACTGATCAGATGAAATTATTAAAATTAATATTTTGAGGGAAGCAATATTATACGAAATAGAAAATTATAATATCAAGTTTATAAATAATTGAGAGGTTGGTGTAAATAATGGATAAATATAATTAGTTAGGTTAGATTGTTATTAGATCTGAATAATTATCTTGCAAATAATGACAAACGTTGTACAAGTAGAATTGAAATAAATTGGCGCCTTGCAAAAAGACCAAATGGTGGCGCTTCAGTCGTTGTTACAAGAAAATAGATTTGATGAAATTACTAATGGCGGCAATACAAAAGCATGTTACTTTTACATAACAATTGTTAATAATTCTATTTAAAAGAAAAATTAACAGTAGTTTAGATTTTTCTAATTTACTTTCCTACTTTAAAACATAGTTACCATGTGAAAATATTGACTTATATACACATGTACATGTGTACAATACCACAGACGAGGTATATAAATATACCTTCAAATATCTGAACAAATTAATATAATAACGTTTAAGAATATTATATTTATTCATGAACACTATATACGAATAATTTCTAACATATTGATATCCCTATTTTAAGACTAGCAGTACTTTATTTATTATTCGTCGTAAAAATCACACGATATAGAAATTATAAAATACCAAAAGAGAAATTGAAAAATTGAGAAATATTTAATTTATAATAAAAATAACAAGTAAAATTAAAATATACATTTACTTTATTCAGATATAGCTTGCATGCAACAATACTAAAATTTCATATGGCTGTAGTATTTATCAACAAATAACTTAAAATTACGTTCTGAAACTGAATTTTATCTATCAAAAATATACAATGGAAATAATAATTTACAAATTTAATGTGTTATTAAATATGATGTATCAAAGCATATCGCGTTTTATTTAAATGTGATCGTCTTTTGACGAAAAGTTAGGTTAGAAAAAGGTAAAGGATGGATTGAGTGAGAAAGTTTGTGATTATTTTTGTAAAGTTTGTGAAATTTAAATTAATTTAAGTGACATTTATAAAAAATGTTTTTACACATTCGTCGAACATTATCGTTATTCTTAGTGACTAGAAATACATTCGTATCTAATGTAAAGAATAGAAGTACATTCGTATCTGATGTAAAGAATATGAAGCAAAACACATCTGAAATATGTTGGAACTATTTCATAAGTAATTATGAAAATACATTAGTTCAGTCCAATATTATATCAAAAGAAATATGGGAAAATGTAAGAAAATATATAATGAAATTAGAAAATGATCCATTATCTGCTGATTTTGTTATTCTAAATATGTTTCAACAAAAGAATTACCCAGATGCTGGAATGTCTTATTACAGATTTTTAGAGAATAATAATTATAATATTACAGTGCCTTTAATTACTAAATATTTGCAGTGTTTGGATCAAAAAAGTAATCTTTCAGAAACAGATAAAGAACATATCTTAAGTTTGTATAATGATGTTGCAAGTAAATATACTTCATTTAATGAAAATCTTAGCAATGTTTTTATTTCATGCTTATGTAAAATAGATAATTGGAAAGAAGCTGTTAATATTATAAAAAAGCATGAAGAACATAATAAAAGTTTTCTTCACTATGGATATAGTTCATTAATTTCATACTTTTTTGATCATGGAAAAGAAGAATTAGGATTTGAATATCTAAATAATAGCCTAAAGTATAATGAAGGTCCTTTAGATATTGCATACAGTTCATATTTGAAACATTGTTTAAAAGAGAAAAATACATTCAATAATAAAGTTGAGAAGTTATTTTCATTGTGGAATAAATATGCTATTAAACCTACTGAAAATATTGTACAGGAATATATGAATGCATGTATTGAACAAGGTTGGTCCGTTAATACAACAAAGATATTCAGGTATAAAGTAAATCTAAATATTAAAATATTAATTGCAATAGTTATTAATTTTTTTGTTTTACACTCCAATTTTTATTTTCTTTTACACAGGTTATTATGTCAGAATTGTAAACAAAAGTTATCACAACTAAATTTATCTAACGAGGAATATGAATATTTGCTTAAAGCTACAAAGGAACAATTAATTTTCACTAAGATGTATTATGTAACTATACCAGAGGAAATACAATCATACATGAAGTTTATTGATAAAAATAAACCATATGACATTATTTTAGATGGACTAAATTTTATGTATCATATTAAATATAATAATCAGTTAGAAACTAAAGTAAATGATTTTTTTACTTATAATATTTCTTTATCAATAAAACATACATATAATATAATTAATATTTCACAGTTTATGAAGATGTTCAAATCTCTTAAAAGACAAAATAAAAAGATACTGATCATTGGAAGAAAACACATGAAGAAATACGTACAACAAATGGGTCTGAAAATTGCAGATTGTTACTATGTTGCAGATAGGTGTGCATTATACATATGAGATATTAATTTTTATTTTTTAAAACATATTTAGACAGACATTTTTTAAATTTTTTATTTCAATATTTTAGTTCGAAAGATGATTTATTCATATTATATGCGGCATTTGCTAGCGGAGAAAATGCTAAAATTATTACTAAGGACTTCTTGCGTCAACATATATTTGCTCTGAAACAGCAAGACATCAAGTTAAATGGCCTCTTCAAGAAATGGCAATTATCGCACCAACTAGTTTTTAATAAACAAGGCTATTCGCAATTAAATGAGCATACAATTTTCGACGCGATTGTTCAAAAGCAAAAAAATTACTGGCATGTACCATATTTTAAACGTAATACAGCATCTCAAATGAGGCATACAAGTGTTAATGATTGGATGTGTTTTAAAATGAATGAATAAAATGATATATATTTGTAAGCTATTTTTCAACTTTTTAACATTTTTATGAAACTTCGTGAATTTGTATGACAAATTGTACCTATTTCAGTTTCTTTTAAATATCAATTAACATAAAAATCATAAAATTAAGAAAAATGCACTTCTGATATTTTTTCTTACGTAATCCTCAAATATCATAAAGAATTGCAAAGACTATAATGTAAAATTAAGAAAAATGCATTTGTACTGTTTTTTCTTATGTATTTCTAATATTTGAAGAATTGTAATGAATGGACATACTATAATAATATAGTATAATACTATATGGACATACTATAATAATAAGTTTATTAGTTATTTTCTTGAAATTCTTTTCAGTTTAGTTAGGTATAAAGATGAAGTTGTTGTTAGTTTTATATGTTCTACCACGTTATTAAAAGTCTTAACAATTTCTTAATAATATTAATAAATGATCAGTCGATGAAATGTTTCATAGCATAAAAGTGTTCAATTTTTATATTTCTTAATTTTTTAAATTTTTCTATTAAAACAATCTTACAATTATTCAAAATTGTATATTAACATGCATTTTTCCATTGATAGAGATCAATTTTAAATATTTTATCACGTTAAACAAACGTCATATCAATATTTCTTAATAACATTAATAAACAATTAGTTGATGAAATGTTTGATAGTATGAGAATGTTAAATAAATTTTTAATTTTTATTGAAACAATCGTACAATTGTTTAAAATTGTATATTAACACGGGTTTTTCGACTGTACATTGATACAAGCCTTAATTGACTAATGTCTTTTTCGCTTTTTAGTTCCGGCGACAGTTAACAATTTTGTTGATTCGAACATAGTACGCGTTGGAAACATCAAAGGTTTTTTTCGTATCAATATCGTAAACATTGCGATATAAAGGGTGTATTATCGTAAAAAATGGCAAAAGTATGTGAGAGAAAACGTAGACAACAATCGGTAAAGTATATTGCAACTTGAACATCGCGTATGAATAGGCCAACCACTGCTTGGGCATAGCTTGATAGTCAAATCTTTCAGTATTTGATTTATACAGTTAAACTTATCACTGTTACTTGTACAGTTTTATTAATAATTCAAGTAGTCTTTAAATATTTGAGAAACTGTAACGATTGTTATGTAAAATTAAGACTATACTTCGCAATATAATAAAATTTCTCATGTCTCAGTTTAAAGTACTGAAACAATTTTTCATCAAGTATGTGAACATTTTCGTTCTTTTTTAAGAATTTGTCATGAATTTTATGTATTTGAGTTAGATCAGAGATTTTTATTTTTTATTTCACGTTATCATTTCGTGTGAAACGGGCGATCACAGCGCCCCAACGGTGAAATACGCAAACACTCCCTAGGATTGTCGAATGCAATCGATATATCTCACGATCGATTTTTAAACAGAAAGAATGGCGGAAAGAAGCACATCTCATCTGTAAAAAAGAAACTATTATCCAGAAGAATCATCCAGAAATTCTCAGGTAAAAATATAAATCAATAGCTGTTATATTTGCGTGTGTGTACTGAATTTTTGAGATAAAATTTGTACTTTTGGATTTAACTCATCGAAATTTTTAATCCCCTAAAGTAAAAATTAACAACATAATTATTATATAATTTTGAACAATTAAAGAAATAATAACGTATAAACAATTAAACAGAACACGTGCTAAAAATTATTTTATACCAAAATTTAATTTCAACTCTAATACAAATATCGTAACCTTGTTACAAATACTCATTGTTATATACATACACGTATGTTATACTTTTGCACACATATTTCTATTATAACATTTTCTATTTATTTGTTGCTTCTCTAACTTCATACTGCATAATTTTTAATAATTCTATTAAATTCAACAATAATTTATTAAGAATACGTATTTAAAGTCAAAATAATAATTTTAGTACCCTCAACGACACAGTAGGGTTCTGCAGAATCGCTGAGTCGGATTATCAAGGACGTTAGGCTACAAGACTCTCACCTCGTCCTTTCGAACGTGGCTGCAGTTCCCCGATTCGCCACACTGGCTACAAAACTTGGAGACCCGATTCTAGTGCAACGAACAAAGTAACAATAGTACCAACGAACGAAAGAAGAGAGCAGATGAGGAATTTCTAATTTCGTCCGAAGTTCAATAAACGTGTCTTTGCACAGAATGCGTTCACAATGAATTTACAGAGGTTAACTAAAACTAAACGCACGCAACTTAAAGTTAAGACGCACGCAACTTAAAACTAAAGCGCATACAACTTGAAGTTAAGACTCACGCATCCCACGATGTCCTCGGTGCTCCGCTGGGCCGATGTGCACAAGACGGAAGTTCACTTGGTAATGAGTGTCCGTACTATTCAAGGTTATATACTATTTCGGTCGTCTGTGATCAAGTAGAGTTGACAACTTTTTTTTCAAACTTCTAAATTTTTTCTTTGTGTATATGTCGAAAATTTAATTGATAATGATTTGTAAACCGTCGAGGTTAATCTAATGTTGATAACTGTTTTTTCAAACTTCTGAAACACGGCGAAAATTTAATTGATAATGAATCTCCGTATCTCTCAAGGTTAATCTAATGTTTCGGTCGTCAGTGATCCGGAACAGTTGATAATTTTTTTTCGTATTTCGTAAAACAGTTTTTCTATTATACTAATCAATAATTTAATAGTTTTTACATTTCTGTTGCAAAGTTACACTTTCATGAATATGTTACAATGTTAAATGTAATAATTTATAAATTTTTTGTCGTCTGAAACTAAATTTACATTTTCGTGATATTAATTTTTAAATTGTAACTACATTGATGTATATTAAATAGTAATTTATGTAGAGAAAAATTATGTAGTCAGAAATTAAATTAGAATAATTTATAAGTCTGTGAAGCATGGCGGAAAAGATCACGTTTCAGCTGTAAAGCAGAATATATTATCCAGAAGGATCATCCAGAAAGAAGTATCATCCAAAAATTCTCAGATAAAGATATAAATCAATAATTGTTAAATTTATATTTGTGTTGTGAATTTTTAAGACAAAATGTACATTTTTACGTACA